AATTCACACTGGGGGGGGGGTGTCAGAAAAGTTTCTACTTTTATGAGGGGGGGAGGCACAAAAAGTTTGCCTTCAGTCTGGAGGGGGGGTCAAAAAAGTTTTCAATCCTCATTTTCCCCATTTCCCAAACACCCCCCCCTCCCCATAAATAATGACCACTCCCTAAATTCGTCCATAGGAAATATGCATCTCTAGTTAACATTGATGTCGAGACTCTACTGCAAATCGCCCAGCAAAAAACCGCCAAAGCCATGAAAAAAATATTAAAAAAAAAATTTATTTACGACCTACCGACCCTAATTTTTTCACGATATGAAACCGGAACCACAGGGTTTTTTTTTACACCCTACCAAAAATCGGCCTGATACGGATTCTTGGTCAATGGCTTTGAGTGTTCTCATTGTCCAAATTTGTAACGAGGTTTATACATACATTTCAGAGGACCTGTTGTAAACAGGCGAGTTGTTGTGAACCGGAACTTTGGTGAGAGGATTGGTGGACCACCTCAGAAGAGATTCAACACTGGAAATGCATATAACAGGTGAGAATATTGGTCTAGATTTTGTGTGTGAAGCTTGCAAGAGTTCATAACTTGTTAATATTTTTTAGGAAAGTGGGAACAAAATTTATGTCTTCAAAATATGCCTGCAAAGTGCATCATATTTTAGTTTTTCAGAGTTAAATAATGATTTATTTGCCCATTGAGTGGCAGCACTCTCCGCTTGACGAGTAAAACTGTCAGGCGTTGGACAGAGTAAACTACTAAAGTAGGGTGCATCAGGGTGCATTGCCACTTAAAGGGTTAAAATGCCACAGGGTTTTATTCGAGCATTGTGCCTTAATTTAAAAAAAATTGTGAATGGATTTTTTGTCTATAATTTGTACCCTGCATATATTTTTTTAGCCAGGATTTTGAAAGAGGGGAGGGGGTTTGAGAAAATGCTCCCGGCCTCTGGAAAACCTTTGAAGTCTGAGACTCAGTATTAGAAGTTTATGTTACTTCATGTCAGTCATAGGTTGGCATTGCCATATGCCGACCTTGTTTTCAAGGGCTGCAGTAACAACCCTCTTAGCTCCTCCCCCTCCTAACCTCCCCCATGCAATATTATGCAAGCATTGTCAAAATCTCTCTATATTCAAGACTTGGACCTCGAGTGGGTGACAGAACCAATCGACGTTTTGGACAACTGGAGAGTGACGGCGAAGAAGAGGAGGATGATGGCAAGAAAGTATGGGATAACTTAGTACATATGTGTACATTGATGTATTAGAAATAGATGATAATGTAGTGTGTATGGGTACGTTGGTGTATCAGAAATAGGGAGTAATATGTGACATGAGTGAACATTAAATTATTGGAGATGGAGGGAAGCATCAGTGACATGAGGTTGGAGATGATGACACATGAGTACATGTGTGTATATTTTTGTCAACTTTAGGTCACTTTTCAAAGTGCAATTCCCAAGTTCCTTGTGAATATCTCCAAATTCCAATTATTACATTTCTAAATTTGGAATATTGGGCATGGCATGGAATATTTAATATTAGCCTTTCCCACAAAGGCCAATTTCGCCATTTTTGGTACTTTTTTGAAAACGATGTGAAAAATCTAAGCGATGTGAAAACATTTTTTCAACTTAACTTACAATGATTATACTTAGCCTAGTCCCAGGCCTTCCAGCGTTGCTGTTTCGGTTTCGGTTCTGACCCTCTACAGGGTGTATCAAAATAAACACAATTTATCTTTTGTGCTTAATAACTTTCGAAATACTATTTCTAGTTAAACGCTTTTAGGCTTACTTCAAAGCCTGTTCTTTTCTCTTTCAAACAAAC